AGCAGTGTCCCCCAGGGGCCAGTACTGAGTTCAGTGCTGTTCAACTTGCTCATCAGCAACCTGGATGAAGGAACAGAGTGCACCCTCAGTGGGTTTGCAGATGACACAAAGCTGGGAGGAAGAGCTGATACCCGAGAGGGCTGTGCTGCCATTTAGAGGGACCTCGACAGGCTGGAGGGTTGGGTCGAGAGGAACCTCATGAAGTTCAACAAAGGCAAGTGCAGGGCCCTGCACCTAGGGAGGAATAACCCCAAGCACCAGCACAGGCTGGGGGCTGACCTGCTGGAGAGCAGCTCTGCAGAGAGGTACCTGGAGGTCATGGTGAACGACAAGTTCACTGTGAGCCAGCAGTGAACCCTTGTGGCTGAGAAGGCTGAGGGGATGCTGGGCTGCATTTGGAAGAGTGTTGCCAGCAGGTCATGGGAGGTGATCCTCCCCCTCTATTCAGCCCTGGTGAGGCCACACGTGGAATATTGAGCCCAGTTCTGGGCTCCCCAGTACCAGAGGGACGTAGAAGTACCGGAGTGAGTCCAGAGGACTGTGAAGACGATTAGAGGACTGGAGCACCTGTCACACAAGGACAGGCTGAGAGAACTGGGCCTGTTTAGCATGGAGAAGAGGAGACTGTGAGGAGACCTAATCAATGTGTATAAATATCTGAGGGGAGGGTATCAAGAGGATGGAGCCAGTCTCTTTTCAGTTGTGCCCAGTGACAGGACAAGAGGCAACAGGCACAAACTGAAGCACGGGAGTTTCTGGCTCAATATGAGGGGGCACATCTTTACTGGGAAGGTGACAGAGCACTGGGACAGGTTGCCCAGAGAGGTTGTGGAGTCTCCTTCTCTGGCAATACTCAAAACCCACCTGAATGCTATCCTTCACAATGTGCTCTAGGTGATCCTGCTTGGCAGGGGAAGTTGGACTAGATGATCTTCAGAGGTCCCTTCCATCCTCACCCGTTCTGTGGTTCTGTGAAATCCTTGGGCTGGAGCTGAAAACCCATCAGCTTAGAGTGAGAGGGTTGTGATTTTCTATGCTCAGCTCTGATACACCAGAGAAGCTCAGCATCTCCAGTAGAGCAAATACTAGCATCTTAAACTCTCCTTGGCCTGGGGATCTGAAAGCACCACACCAATATGAATGAATTGGGGTGGAAGGCAAGGAATTTAGAAGAGCTAATGCCCATTTCTCAAAGGTGCAGATGCCCCTTCCTTGGGGCAGTCAGGTCAAAAGCTGCAGTGTCTGGGATAGCTGGGAAAGAGCTGTGGGTTTCCCAGCTTCATGCTGCTCTTTGCTGCCACTCCGTGGCTGCACTTGGTGGAGGGTGGATGTTGGACCTCAGGATGACCCCTAGATGTGAGAGCACTTCTGAATGAAATTATTCCCAAGGTTTTTCTGCACCCAGTGAGCCAGAATTATGCGTTGCAGCTTTGATCCAAGTGCTGAGCAGGCAACAGGTCCAAGGCCCCGTGCTGTCCGTGCATGGTAATGGTGAAAGGGGTCCTAAAGGACCCAAGGATGTTGCTGTGTACTGTCAGGCATCCCTTGGAGCAATTAGCCATGCTCACATGTTTGTTCCCAGGGTTGTTCGCAGTGCAGCTGGTTGCTATTCCTTTCTATTATCACATTTGTCTGTTTTTTTGTTGGAACTGAGACAGTGCCTCGCAGGGAGTAAACCTTTGTGGGTATCTGGAAACACTTAGTGCCCAGCCGACGTTAACAGACTTGTAATAATAAGCAGATCTAATTCATCTCTGACGATGTGGCCAGCGATGTTCTGAGTCATATTTTTAGTCATGCAAGGTTCAGCCACATGATTGCTAACCCTCTTCTTGCCCTGTGACATTAATGCCAGGATTAGGAGGAAGCATTATGCAGAAGAAAAATGTTAGGTCATAACTGTAAGTAAATAAAGAAATGGTTTAGGTGGTTTAAAAAGGAAGGTGAAGCTAAGCTCAGGTGTTTTGCTAAAATCAGTCTTGCAATGACTGTTAGTTAGCCAATGGGTGGTAGTTTGGGGATCGGGTGGCACCTGCACAGAGGGTTTGGGACTGTGGGATCGCCTCGGATGGCGGTGTTACTTGGAGCTTGCCACGTAGGTCATGGAAGGGAGCAAGGAAAGGTGACAGCAGCGCAGGAGCACACACACTCCAGCCTGGCATCCTTCTCCTTTCTTCTCATCCCTAAAACCTGACAAAAAGTTCATTTCTGAACAAACTGCACATCACCTGCTCTGAATATAAATGACATCTGTAGGCGCAGCAAAGCCAAATGTGGGGATGTGTGCAGTGTATGATTTGCCTCCAATGCAGATTCCGGAACAGATGCTCACTTTGTGCATTGCACATCAGCATGTACCATGATGTGTACAAGATTATGGCATGGAGGAGGAGGAAAACATCAATTGACTGTACACCATAACAAATTTCAAGCTGCATGCACCCGGGAGCTGGTGGGTGTCCTGAATGCTTGTAGATCCTACCAGAGTTATGGGTATCGGGTATTGCCTGGTTGTGCCGTGGTTGTGGAGAACAACCTTGCAGTGCTGCAGAGCTGGAGCCTATCTGATGGTTTTTACAATATTTTTCTCCTGGCTGTTGAATATTGTAAAAGGAATTTTCAGCCAAAACTGTGAGTTCTCTTCCTTGATATTCTGATGCTGTAGTCTCCTGAGATCCTGATGGCAGGAACATGTGCTTTCTGCAGCTTAAAATGAATGTTAAAGGGATATTTCTACCAAGCAAAGTGTTTGGGATTTGGTTTCCTTGCTAGTTAACAGTGTAAATTGAAAAAGCAGTCTGTAAGGGGATAATGCATTTGTAATGGCATCTTTCTTCTCTGAGGTTATGGAAAGTGCTATAATTAAGCTGATAATTAAACCCCATGAAGTTAGTTATGATCCCTGGCGAAGGCACAGGGAAGTCATGAGCAAGGGTTTGCCCAGAGTCTTGTTCTGAGTCAGATGCAGAGCCCAGGAGCCCTGGCACCTGCTTTCTCATGAGTCATGCGTAGGACTAAGTCCTTTCTTTCCTCCATGGATGGAATGACATTGTAGAAAACTCAAATTGAATAACTCAGTGTTTTGGGGTCAGATATGGATAGAGCAAATATATGCACGGGCAGGTACTAGAACCTCTTTAAAATGCAAATTGTTTTCTTGCTAATCTTGCTAATTTCTTTAACCCAATTTGCACCATAGTGTATGTTTTTCTTACTGCCTTTGCCTTGAAGTGATGTACTGGAATGCAAATTGCCCCGAACCCACTGTCACCTTGCATTACCTTCCCCAACGTGATCCAACATGCTGTGACTGATACAATCCGACTTGATGTCATAAAATGATGTCTCCCATGGGGAAGCAAAAGGAACACATTTTCTCATAGCCCATAAATATTTTAAAGAACGGCTTTCCAAGTGATGGGGTCCCCACTCCTTTCCTTTTCTGCTTAGTAATCTGTCCCAGAAATAAGCTCCATCCTGCAAGTGCTCAGCCCACTCCAGGCCTGCAAAACCCTTCAGCACATGCTGAAAACTGAAGGTCTGAGCAACTTTAGCAGTCAGATGGGGTCTTCTTGCATGTTAAAGGATGAAAGCTGTTATGAATCCCTGCTGGGTTTTCTTTTCAGAGCTCCCGTTGCTGGCTCATCCCCAGAATATTCACTCTTGTCCTCACAAAATTACGGGCAGAGCTCTTCAGTGAGTAGATATCACTATTCTGGCAAAGGAGCACTTTGACTCTGCTTATTTTCATATTGTGTTTCTGCGAAGATAAGGACACAGAGAGATTTCAATCAGTGGTGCATATGCTCAGATCAAGCATATGAAATATAATAAGAAGGACAGATAGCAGCAGCACAAAGCTGTCACAGGGGGTTGTTGCAGGTACTGCAGTCGATAGTGACATTTTAATAGTAGCCATTGCATTGATCTGCTTTGGTCTGATGGTTTTAGACACTTTTCACACCTGATAATTTAGAACAGCAACTACGTGGAGGGGTGCATCCAGTCAGTTTCAGCTGAATTTAAATAATAATAAAAAAACCACAGTGAAAAGTCATACAGTTTGTGATTCTGTTTCCGGACTTGGAGGAGGGCTAATATATCTGCCCGTACTAACTGGTCTGGTAGCAAGTGGGAGGATATGTCTAGAGAAAGATAAAGAAAGGAGAGGTATGCAAACATTAAACTATCCTGTTCAGAGAAGCAGGTATTTTTAAGATCCTTCAACAGGCATGAATTTCCTTCTTTTTTTTTTTTTTTTTTTTTTTTTTTTGCCATTTTCATTAAGCATCACAGAAGTTCTCCAAGGGAAGAGTTATATTTGATATAATACTTAGATATACTTCAAACAGCCACATGCCTCATTTACAAAACATACAATATACTGCAGGGGCTTGGGACTGCGTAGGCTCAGTTCATTAATGGTAGGAGCAGTCTCCCCTTCCTGCTAATGGCACTGAAGCTGTGTCTACACTGCCTGCTCTGCATGCTGAGCACACAGGGCTTTTAAGAGACGGATGCTGATGGAAAGCTGAAATGAAATGCCTGGTGGATTCGTAATAGTCTGGCTCTTCCCTCCGCGTGTACTCCCTTCCTCTGGAGGATGGGGTTGGCCTTGTAAAAGCTTTGCAGAGACCTGGCTCTTTAGCGTCTCTTAATAGAGGAAGAGCGCTGGCAGTGCTAATGGCAGCTGTCCTCCTGCCAAATTGTTTTTTTTTTTTTGAGAAGTGACTTGCCTATAAACTCTCTGGGGCTGGGGAACAGTCGGTTCATCTCTATTTGTGCATCACCTGATCTTGTCTTCAAGTGTGGATATGCTACAACATGGGCCATCCATTGGGATTACAGCAAATTAGGGTCTGTACATACCATGAAGTTGATGTAGCAGGTGCCATCATGTGTGTATGGCTTCGTGATGTGCTGCTGGTCCAGGGTGGCCTATCAGATATTGGCACTAAGTGGTACTTCAGTAAAAATATTGATATTTTCTTTCATTCCAGGGGATGGCCAGGTTGATTTTGATGAATTTATGACCATTCTGGGACCTAAACTGGTATCATCAGAAGGCAGAGATGGCTTTCTGGGAAATACAATAGACAGCATATTCTGGCAGGTAAGTGGTAATTCCTTTAAATGCAACTTTAGCCAACTATCAGTAGCTTCCAGAAGTGATTTGTTGGGGAGCACAAAATGTTTTGTTAGGGCGAATGCTTGTGTTAAGGTATTCAGGTTCCTCTTGCTGTCTGCTGAGTATCATCAGCCTATGTTGCTGGAGCAACCTGCTCTCATCTGAGCCCTATGACAGAGGAAGGGTGAGCACATACTGTAAACGATCTGTAGTTGAACACAACAAAACACCAAGTTATTTGTGCAACACATCTTGGGGCATTTTGGAATTAATTTTTGGAAGAGAAAAACATTTTTCTCCATGACTCTTTTGAGTTAGGAACCTCAAACCTGTGCTCTGCTTGCAGAAGTGTGCTGCTGTTCACCATCCCTTGGCTGGGGTGAAAGGAGGCTCCAAGCAGAGTGAGGTTTTCTGTGCAGGTCGTGTTAGATTGATGCTTCTGCAGTGAATTCAGGACAAAGACTGAGGATTCAGGTCTGGGTTTGATGATGGGTCAATTTTGTGCCAATGCAAGGTTTGCCCTTGCTGCTGCTCTGGGGTGATTTGGTCCTGATGGTTTTGAGCATCAGAGGGGGAGGCAGGTTTGGCAGTGGGATCTGCCGTGCATTGTGATTTTTAAACAGGATTAGACCTTTCTGGAAAAGCAAGGACAGTCCAGGCTGTTATGGCAAGTATTAAAAATCTCCCAAACCACAGTGCTGCACATTTCTTGCCAATGGATTGAATGTGTGGTTTCCTGTGAGATTACTGCTCATTTCATTGATCACCCAACAGCCTTTGCTTGCTAATAAACTTGGGCTGTTACCAAGTTTATGTGAGTCAAAAGAGTCAAACCTGAATATGAACATTTCTGTCTTCTGTTACTGCCCTCCAGCACTGTTCAGGCTGAATTGGGTGGAGTTTTGTAAATGTCTTTTAAAGTCCTTTAAAACTTGTTCCTGGTCTCCCAGCATGTGATATAAATAACCCTGGAAATCTGGGTCTGGATTCCAGTATTCCATTTTCAAAGCAAGAGTTTGGCGTTGGTGAATCTACAGTGGTTTGTAATATATCTAGGGGGATGCAAGGGCAAAACTCATTTTACAAAGGGCAGGGTTGGGGTAATCATGGATGTTCTGTTGCCCCATCCCACCATGTGAACAACAAGGAGAGGAGGAAGCACTGACCAGTCCCACCAAGCCAATGGTGCAGTGCAGGCCAGTGGTGAGACTGGCTTCCTGCAGCCGTTCATGAAGCACAGATACCCCTTGGGAAAATCACATTCATGGGCTGAGCTCTTTCATGGGTAAGATGAGAGGTCGGGAGCCCACCCTAAGATTCATTTCCCAGGTTAACCATGCCATTTAGTAATCCTTCAGCCCTTTGGAAATGCTTGTGGTGTCTTTGCTTAAAGGTCAGCGAGGAATAGAGGATGTGTGCTCTGGATTTTGAGCAGCAGGACTCCTGGGCTCAGATTTGCCTTGCTCTTTCTTGCAGCAGCAAGCGTGGCCCTTGTGCTCTCCAGGCTGTGGTGGGATGAGTGAACAGTGTGGAGACCCCAGGTAACTGGTCCCATGGTAGGGGGACAGCCCTGGGGTTGTCTGCAGGCAACAAAGCTTTGACTGACTTGCACGAGTGCTCCAAGGCCTCCAAAAAGTTGTTCATGGTCTTTTACTTGTACAGGTAAAAATACATCTCTTTACCTAGCACACTCCTGGATTTCAAAGCACTTAAAGCACATTTTGCTGCTCCTGGGGTAGGAGAGCTCACGGCAAATACAGTATTTTTTCCCAATACCCTCCCCAAAAATATGTAGGGAAGAACTGTTCAAGGAACAAATTCCCTTTGCCCCTTCCTACCTGGCTTTACCCAAGCCATCTATGGGGTTTTACCTTGTCTTTAAGCAAAGCAGTGACATACCTGCATCATTTCCTGTGGGATACATCTTATTTGAAATAAAGCCCTTTTTAGATCCAGGGCCTGGCTGGTTCCCCATATCCCTTCCACGTGCATTTTTCACATTTGCTGGGAAAGGAACAGCTTGGAGAGAGAATGAGTTAAGGCTGAATGATGCTAGAGCACTTCACCCCTGCAGTGATCCCAAAGAGTGACTTTGAGGAGGGAATGGTGCCCACAGGCCTGTGGCTGTGAGTGGCCCTGGGTGACAAGGGCAGGAGGGTGGCATGAGGAGGGACAACTCCACCATGGTGCCAGCTGGCCAGGCAGTGCTACTGAGAAATCTCACATCAAAGCTGCGGGCAGCAAAAGGCATCTTGAGGCTCGTTACATCAGTTCCAGGGGAGAAAATCCATGTTGTCATCCAGAAAGTGTTTTCCTCTTCTTCATCCAAAGAGCTCTCCTCCAACTGGGGTGATTTTGGCTCCAAAGGTGCCACTTCTGTGAGGACTGTATTCCAAGCACGCTTTAATAATGCTTTAAATAATGTAACGACAGAGTTAAATAATAAACAGCAGCAGAAGGAGAGAAGGATTCAGAGGAACAGGCGAGGGCCTGGCGGTGTGTCTCCACACGAAGCTGGGAGCGAGTTGGTGGGACACAGGAAGGCGGCTCCAGATGGCAGAAGCTGCGGAGGGGAAGGATCTCACAACAACAGCAGTGGGGCTGCAGGAGACAAGGAGGGGGTAGAAATGGTGGAAGACTAAGAAGGAGAAAGAGAGATCATGCATGGTAAAGACTGGCTTGCAATAATAATAGGGGAACAGTTCATCCGTCCTATTGCACGTTGCCCACAGTGTGATGGTCAGTTCAGGAGAAGCAGGATTTGGCTGAGACCTGTGTGTTGGCAGGTGTTATACGAAGGGTCTCTCAGATGTATTTTCCCTCCTTGATTTCCCATGTGGGCTCTAAATTGAGTTGTATTGGGGTGTGTTAAAGGCAGCTGACTCCTGCTTTCTCAGGTAGCGGCGATCAGTTCTGCTCCAGTTAGAATGGCTCTCCCAGGTCCCTCAGCCTGGTCAGGAGCTAGTTAGGAGGAGGGAGGGAAAAATCATCCCTGCAAATACTATTTCAGGCCAAGTCAATATAGACCTATGATATCAGGATTGCTGAGGAAACATTGACTTTCCCCTATCTCTGAATGTCTGTCTTTCCTGAGCAAGATGAAGCACATACAAAGGTCCGTTTTGCAGAAACCATCCCCAGGTGCCTCCTGCTCTGCTTCAAAATCATTTTCTTATCCTTGTACTGACTGTTTGTAAATGGAAGTAAGATCTACCCATGCACAAATATCTTTAACTGTCACTGAAAATATTTTTTCCAAAATGCAGAGCTGCCCTGTAACTGGCAGCCACTCCTTGGGACGCAGGACCGCAGGCAGGAGGAGTCTGAAGGCTGGAAGCAGCCAGCAAAGCCCTGCTCTTTCTGGTTTGGGGCAGAAAAAAAAAAGTAAAGAAAAAACTAGTGGTGTACCCCAGGGGTCAATACTGGGCCCAGTCCTGTTTAACACCAATGATCTGGATGGCGGGGCAGTGTACCCTCAGCAAGTCTGCAGGTGACACCAAACAGGGAGGAGTGGCGCTTACACCAGGGGGCCATGCTGCCACCCAGAGGGACCTGGCTGGAGAAATGGGTGACAGGAACCTCCTGCAGTTCAGCAAGGAGAAGCACAAAGTCCAGTCCTGAGGAGGAGCAAGCCCAGGCCCCAGGACAGGCTGGGGCACCCAGCTGGCAAGCAGCCTGGCAGAGAAGGCCCTGGGGGTCCTGGTGGGCACCAAGCTGGCCATGAGCCAGCAGCGTGCCCTTGGGCAAAGAAGGCTGATGGTATCCTGGGCTGCATTAGCCAAAGTGCTGCCAGCAGGTGGAGGGAGGTGATCCTTCCTCTCCACTCAGCATTGGCGAGGCCACACCTGGAGACCTGTGTCCAGTGCTGGGCTCCCCAGTAGGAGAGAGACCTGGAGCTACTGGAGGGAGTCCAACAAAGGGACACGGAGGTGCTGGAGGGCCTGGAGCCCTCTGCTGTGAGGAGAGGCTGAGAGAGATGGGACTGCTCAGCCTGGAGAAGAGCACGCTCAGGGGGACCTCATCAATGCCCGTAAATACCTGATGGGAAGGTGCAAAGAGGACGGAGCCAGGCTCCTTTCGGTGGTGCCCAGTGCCAGGACCAGAGGCAGTGGGCCCAAACAGGGGCACAGGAGGCTCCCTCTGAGCACCAGGCAGCACTTGTGTGCTGTGCAGTGACCGAGCACTGGCACAGGCTGCCCAGAGAGGTGCTGGAGTCTCCTCCTTGGGGATCTTCAAAGGCCACCTGCAGGTGGTCCTGGGCACCCTGCTCTGGGTGGCCCTGCTGGAGGAGGGTTAGACCAGATGGACCCAGAGGTCCCTGCGAACTTCAAGCAGTCTGTGGTTCTGCGAAAAATGACCATAGATGAGATTTTTGGAGTACCTAATGAGCCCTGTTTCAGAAGCTGATAGGAGGAGGTGGGCCTGGCCCCATGCAGGTGTGCTAGCCCTTTGCAGAGTGCCTGCCCTCTTCCTTCTCCATCTTTTTCCCTCTGTATTTTTAAAGAGTGGTCGGCCATCCCTTGCCTTGCCACCATTTCTGAGCTGCTCCTGCTGGAGTTCACACTTAGTGCCTTGAAGCTGGTTGTCTTTAATGCTTCAGGCAGTGATTTGCAGTGATTTGGTTGCCATTGCATGATCAGAGAGATGCTATTTGATTAATTTTCAGGCACGAGAATTTGTTTTTTCAGAGCTCAGGGAAGACAAGTGCAGTTCCAGTGGAGCGCTCAGAGGGCTGTGTTTTGTACAAACGGGTTTAGAGGCCTTTCCAGTGCATGGCCATTCAGGTCTGCAAAGCACTTTAGATCAAGAGCATTACAGAAAAGGCAAACATCGCTACTGGTAAATATTAGCTCCTTGTTTTGCCAAATAAAATCCAAATCTATCCACTGTGCCCTGCCATTCCCAGAGAGGGAGAGGGTTTAAAAAAAAAAAAAAAAAAAAGAGAGAGAGAGGGAGGAACTAGGGATTTGTATTCATTAACACTT